TTTCTTTTGTATAAAGGACTAAAATTGTTATTTTTATTAAAGAAGGGCTGAAAAGGTCAAACCAATATTTTGAACCAATTATTTTATTTTAAGATAGTTGAGTCAAAAGAATACCAATTTACAACTTACGAAAACAGAATGAAGAGTATACATATATTCTCAAACATCAATATAAACGACCGAACGGTCTCGTGCCGATCCAAAAATAACAATCGTTTAATCAAACCTTCCAACAATTATGCAATACCTAAAACAAGTAAACATTCAAAACTTTGGGCTTGAAAGTTCCAATCATGCTTGTTGGACCTTTGTGATCCATTAACATGATCTTTGGGCCCACGGGATAATGATAATAAATGTTATTGGGCCTTCTATGACCCAATTCCATATTAAAGGGACCCTCAATGGCTTTTAAGTGCTATTGGGCCTTAGTGGCCCATTAGCATTGCTAGTAAGGTCAAAGTAATCAAATGCGAAATGGGCCAACGTGTCCTTCGTATACCCAACAGCCTAAAATAACTCACGAAAGTAGCAGGACTTTGTACTCCTCTTCTCCTCGTTTGCTAGGCTTATGTGTAATCAAAGTAAACAGATTCAAGTTGTTAATCAATAGTAATCAAGGTTGTTTGGATTAAGTGAGTAATAACGGGCGACACCTCTAAGGATCGTTCGTAGTCTGTAGTTATAACTAGTCATTATCATGCATGGTTATAACGACTCACAAAAATTAATTAATCCAATACCATCCGAGTAATCAAGGAAGAGTAATCAAAAATCATTCGTTGTGGCGGTATAGCAATTCGTAAACAAGTATATTTTGCGTCATCGGAAAACATCGGGTTTTTCGAGGAAATCAACACCACTCGCTTGTAATTCTCTATAACTATAATACAAAACCCCCTTTTATACACGTTTTGAAATCATTCATGCATCAACTTATGGATCTTCACACTTTGATAAACTATTGTCTTTTCAGAAAATATCGGATTTTCTGGGTTTTACAAACTACACAAATCATTTTTATCACAACCCTGCTTATGAACTCACCAACATTTCATATGTTGACGTTTTTCAAAATAACTTGTATTCTCAGGTAACAGGTAAGCTGAAGGGTAATATCAAGTATGTTAGGATGTTATGTTTTGAAAACTCTCAAACAATTTATGATATGAATGTGTAATATTTAAAACAATGTACTGGATGTAAACAATATCAGTTGTAATGTATTGATGCATGGTGATGTTTATGTTATGATTCATGTATATTCATTGTGATGATATTCAATTTAAGTCACACGAGCCCTCGGACGTTTCCGCCGTCTGGTTTCGGGGGTGTGACAGATTTTGAGGGCGAAATCTAATTCAAGTGGGGGATAATTGTAACATCCGGATTTTCAGGAATATTATCGTGTAGTTTGATCTTGTGATTAAAGAAGAGACTCGATGAGTTGAGGGTCCAACTCGCCGAGTCGAGCCGGGTTTTTCCCGTGGACTTAATGAGTGGACTCGACGAGTCCGAGGAGGGACTCGCCGAGTAGGCGCTGATTAGAGAAACCCTAATTTCCGGGGTTTGGGACCTATTTAAAGGCACTTATAGCCTCACTTGCGGCCACCCTTTCCCTGGATGCAAACCCTAAAGGTCATTTGAGCTAGAAAGTGAGAGAGAAGCTATCTTGGGATTTTTAGTGCATAATTTGAGAAGAAGAGAAGGAGATCAAGCAAGGATCAAGAGGGGGAAGGTTGGATCCAGTGATAGATCGTCCAGAGCTTCTGAGGAAGGTAAAAGTCTGCACCTTTCTCATTATATTGGTTAGATCTCACGTGTTTGGAGTTATAGGGCTTTTACCACCTTTGGTTTGGGGCTTTGAGTAAAATGGATTAGCTAGAAGCCTAGTCCTCAGATCTGGACTTTGTGAGGTCCCTAGAGTCCAAAGGTCCCAACTTTATTCATCCAAATGAGGGTTGTTGTACTTAACACCTTAAGAAGGGCTTGTTTTGGCATTTTGAGGCATTTATGCCATGCATGAACGTAAAGGTCGAGACTTTATGTGTCTCTGGTGTCTTAAAGGGCTAGATCTAGGGTTTGGAATGAGAGATCTGACTTTGGACGTCTGAATGAGGAATCAGACCGAGGGGACTCGTCGAGTCCATGAGTTGACTCGACGAGTCAGTGAGGGTTTGTCCCGAGGAACCGAATCAGGCGATAGCTCGACGAGTTGGGGGTCAACTCGACGAGCTGAGCTGGATTGTCACGAGGTTTCTGAGGAAAGTAGGTGGACTCGACGAGTCGCAAGGGTGCACTCGGCGAGTCGGGTCAAACATGGACTGTTGACTCGAGTTTGACTTTTGTTGACTTTGGGGCTTTGATCAACATAAGTAGTAGAGACCATGGAGGGGTAAAATGGTCTTTTACCCACTTCAAAGAGTTAAAGAGAGGAAGAGTAGCCTTCGGTCATTAGAGTTGTGATTAGAGTATCACTTAGAGATATTCATCCCTTGTGTTAGGTGGAGGCTAGTTCGAGATTCGGGAGCGGGGTCTTTACTTGCTGCTGGTCAGGTGAGTCTTCTCACTATACTTTACCTTGAGTGGTAATTAGAGTATGTGACAGAGTATCTTGTATGCTATGTATGTGATGTGTTGCACTGCATTATTTCTATGTGATTTATGCTGTGTGTATTCCAGAGTTTACAGAGTTAGAACCGGAAGGTTCACAGAGATAGAACCGGAAGGTTCACAGAGTTAGGACCAGAGGGTCCACAGAGTTAGGACCGAAGGGTCCACAGAGTTATGGCCTCGAGTGGCTAATATGTGTTATGTGTGGTATTTTGGGGAACTCACTAAGCTTAATGCTTACCGTGTTATGTGTTATGTGTTTCAGGTTTTTCTCAGGATCGCGGGACGGCACCGGCTTGATTGTACACACCAGAGAAAGAGTTATATTTTGAGGATCCTGGATTATTAATGGAGTTGTGCTTTGTAATTTGAATAAACAAGATTTCTATACAATATGTTATGAAAAGTGTACGATTTTAAAATGAAAAATCTGTTTGAAAATTACGGTGTTACATTGACTACGGTAAAAATCATACCCTGAGCATAAACCATACAACAGAGAAGTAGAATTCAAGCCAAAAAATCTAGAAACACAAGAGAAACTAAACAAGAAAACGCTCCATTGATGCAAGACAAAGCTAGGTGTAGAAACGTCAAAAAAGTGTAAATAGATCTGCAAACGATAGATATTACTCCTATAGAACCAATCTGTGAACTTGTCAATTTCATCCAAATAATCGTGCACTCACTGTTCAGACAGAGTTGTACGTTGTGTATCCAGACTTATACACTCTCACATAAATGGGCTTTTTGCTCTAACTCACTAACTGGGTTGGAAGAAGTCTGTACACAGGTGCCAGGTTTGTCGATTGCTGGACAAAGAAAGGGTTACTCCAAAATTCTTGAGAATACAATATTCTTTTTTATCAGGTTTAAATAAAACGATCACTAAAATCACAATATTTGAAACTAGGTTTACAGTTAAAAAAATCGGAAATACAAATGAAAAATAACTCATTCTTGCATTATAATCTAGAAAAGCAAAAGCTAGATAAGCTGCTTATTGAACTCTAATCAACGAAAAGCACATAATTACCAAATACTGCGTACAACAGCAATCAATATTTAAAATTAGCAGACAACTACAATACAAGAAAGAATACGCTAGAGATAAATACTAACCTTGAGATTTCAATCGATAACAACAAAAAAGAAAATACTTTGACGAATCACGACCTCTTCAAGTTGATTCGATATATAGCGACTTCGTTTTGAATATTCTTACATAAGGAGAACTAGGGCAGATTAACTTCAGGAATTCCATATATAACGACTTCGTTTTGAATATTCTTAAAGGCTTGGTCTTGCCGATTTGGGTTTCAGACTTGTTGACAAGTCTTGATCGGATTTAATGGAACTGATTTGGGTTTCAGACCAGTTGAGGAGTCTTGATCGCAGTGGGTTTTTGGAGTGAAAAGGGCAGCGGTGATGGTGATGGTGTTGATGCCGATGATGAACGTGTTCGGCCACACACATAACTAGGTCAAATATATTTACTTTATTTCCTTAATTGAATGATTTCAATTAAATGATTTCCTTAATTAAAAGTACAAAAGGTCCAAAATACCCTTTAATGATTTATTTAATTATTTATTATTTCTTGAATTTTCATTGGTGCATTTAGGCACATAATAGTTTCTAGAAACATTTGAACCTAGCTCTCTCTCTCTCTCTCTCTATATATATATATATATATATATATATATATATATATATATATATATATATATATATATATATATACAATACTAACACCTTTATGTGATGACAATACGTTTTTGTTACGAGTAATGCTTCCACCTCTGATTTGATTTTTTTGTCTTTTGTTGTTTTTAATTCTTTTTTATTTTTTATTTTATTATTATTATTATTATTATAAATTTCGATAACCATATAAAATTCGGACAACATTATAAAATTCGAACGACTATATAAAATGGAACAAAATCAAAATTTGTCTTTATTTATCACGGATATTAATTAATTTGGTATTACATTTACGTGGTGCGTTATGCGGATTGAAAGCATTTAGTTGAGCAATTGTATACTCATGTTGCCGAATATTCTGATTTATATGTACGGAAAAGTCTAGACAAAACATCATACATTGGATATGCTCTTTGCAATCATCATTACAAAATGGTTAGGGTGAATTATAATTTATCGATAGACGATAATGATATTGGTTTGTTTCTAAAATAAAGACAAACTTTATTTTGTTCCATTTTATACGGTCATCTGAATTTTATAATGTCATCCGAATTTTAAAATGTTGTCCGAATTTTATATGGTTATCGAAATTTATAATAATAATAATAATAATAATAACAACAATATTAAAATATATATAAAAAAACAAAAAACAAAAAAAACTGTCCAGCCCTTACAAACAACTGTTCGGGTTTATGTTGAATTTCATACAAAATTCTGTCTTAACTCCGTAAGGGAGCCGGCCATCGCCAGTCGATCATTGACCCCTGTCCCCGATCATCCGCTAACCGCCATTCACCTCCATATTCCGCCGTCTGTCCAGATTACACTCTTTTAATTTCTATAATTTCTAGAGAGAAAAGCCCCATTTTGTTTTCTTAGAGAGAGAAAGCTGGAGATACTGGGCCCGTAGAGAGAGAGAGAGAGAGAGAGAGAGAGAGAGAGAGAGAGTGAGAGGGACAGGGTGTTATCGCGGTTGTGGACAGAGAGAAATGAAGAGATTCTTCATTCGTCCGACCCGTCCGTAGTTCTCGCTACTTTCCGACGGCGGGGAGAGAAAGAGAGGGATTTAATGGCAATGATATACAAGAACTTGATTTCCATTTTCCCCCTCACTTTCTAGGATTCTGTTGTTTACGAGGATCAAATCTAGGGTTTCCGAAGTAAATCAAAAAGGATTTAGGTGGAATTTGGAGTTTAGAGGTTGATCAGTCATGCGAATCGGTGAAATCCGAGTTCCAATCTAGACAATAAAGTTCTCGAGTTGGTGAGAGATGGACGTGGATTCGTCAATGGTGTCGTCGTCGTCGGAGGCGGATAACAATAACAGCAACAACATTAATACTAATGGCCCTGCGCCAGAGGAGCAGCTAGAGTCTAGTTCTGCGAGTGGGGAGGATCCCGGAGAAGCTTCTTCTGCTCAGCCTTTGCAGCCGCAAGTTCAGCAGTTGCAGGCTCAGCAGGCAAGTACTAGTCCGGCGGGTGGGCCAAGGCTTGCGCCCACTTACTCTGTGGTGAACGCTATACTAGAGAAGAAGGAAGATGGCCCTGGTCCAAGGTGTGGACACACTTTGACAGCTGTGGCGGCTGTTGGGGAGGAAGGGACACCGAATTATATTGGACCAAGACTTATACTCTTTGGTGGCGCAACAGCTCTTGAGGGCAACTCTGCTAACGCCGGGACTCCAACCTCTGCAGGAGGTGCCGGAATACGTATGTATCGTTGACTATAACCTGTCTTGTTTAAATTAGTTAGTATAGAAATAGAATAGTTTCGTATTTGTCATAACCTTAAATTTTGACCCAAATTGAAGTTGGTTTTGTGGATGTTAACTTTAAGATACATAAATAGTGTTTGAAATATGCTTGAAATCAATGTGACATTCCTTTTATGTTTCTGATTACTTGGTTGTTTGTAAATATGATGTCACAGGTTTATCAGGTGCTACTGCTGATGTGCACTGTTATGATGTGTTGACTAATAAATGGTCCAGGTAGTAAAATAAATTCCAAATAATAAGTTTGTCTTGGAATGATTTTATTTAAACGTCTGATTGAGAATCGCAGAATAACTCCATTTGGAGAACCACCTACGCCTAGGGCAGCTCATGTGGCAACGGCTGTGGGTACAATGGTGGTTATACAGGGGGGCATTGGTCCAGCTGGGTTGTCTGCTGAGGATCTTCATGTTCTTGACCTAACACAACAGCGCCCACGATGGCATAGGTTTGATTTTTCAAGAATATGATTATTAACTTAACTTGTACGTATCTTCCATAAATGCTTGTTTCTTGTAGAGTGGTGGTCCAGGGTCCAGGCCCGGGCCCACGATACGGGCATGTCATGGCTTTAGTAGGGCAACGATATCTTATGGCTATTGGTGGAAATGATGGTTAGTTTGTTTGTATACAATTTATGTTTTTTACCAAATTCAAAACCTTGTTTTATGAGCAGGAAAGCGTCCTCTTGCTGATGTATGGGCCTTGGATACTGCTGCTAAGCCATATGAATGGAGGAAATTGGAACCTGAGGGAGAAGGTCCGCCTCCATGCATGTATGGCCACTCTTTTTATCTCTTCTTAGCTCTTTCCTATTTAATACTAGTATTTATGTATGAAGATTTTATTTATTTGGATAAAGGTATGCCACTGCAAGTGCACGCTCAGATGGTCTTCTTTTGCTTTGTGGGGGACGGGATGCCAACAGTGTGGTGAGTCGCATGCTTTAAAATCCCATTACCATATATTAGGGTTTACTGTTAAACTTGGATACTCGCCATATATATCTATCTTTAAATGTTTTACTTTGTATATATTTATGTCTGTAATAAATTGCAATTAACACATTTAGCAATTAGGGAGGTGTGTGTGAGTTTGGTTTCATAACTATAAGTTATAACTATTAACTGCAGCCTCTTGCAAGTGCGTATGGACTTGCAAAACATAGAGATGGGCGGTGGGAGTGGGCGATTGCTCCTGGTGTTTCACCATCTCCTCGTTATCAACATGCAGCGGTTCGTTCTTTCTTATTATACTCATAAGTCATATCATACACAGTGCAGTGCTAAAAAGTGTTTTTGTTCTTTTCTTTCTAGGTTTTTGTCAATGCTCGGCTCCATGTTTCTGGGGGGGCACTTGGTGGTGGACGCATGGTGGAAGACTCATCAAGTGTAGCTGGTATGGTATTCATGCTACTTTTGAATATTTTTCTATCTCTCCTGATTCCTGACATAAATCTCTAATATCAACTAACTTTTCTAAGGAAACAATATCTCTTTCAATTAATCCAAACTATCTGCTGATTTGAATTCAACTGGCAATATAAATAAACAATGTCACAAGTAATTATCAAGTACGTACAGAATCTTTAATTAAGCTTGAAAATTAGAATTTTGATAGTATATTGCTATTGCATTCTGTATTTACTTGTTTAATCTTCCTCACTGGTTTTGTATATACTATATAGTTCTGGACACTGCAGCAGGAGTGTGGTGTGATACAAAATCGGTTGTGACTACACCACGGACAGGTAGATATAGTGCTGATGCTGCTGGTGGAGATGCTGCAGTTGAATTGACAAGACGTTGTAGGCATGCTGCTGCTGCTTTTGGTGATTTAATATTTATTTATGGTGGCTTACGTGGAGGTAATACTAACTTTCTCCTTTGTAATTCATCTTTATCGAACTTCTCCATTTATATGAATTGACAAGACTTTTTCTTTATTATATCTGCACAACTTACTTGTTATGGGCTAGGGGACTAATTGTTGAGAATTTTTTCACTTAATAAATAGTTAATACTGAAAACCAAGCAAGCAGATATATATTTACTTTCCAAACGCCAACCAATAACAATTCAGCATGCATGTTGCAGGGGTATTGCTAGATGATCTTTTAGTTGCTGAAGATCTTGCTGCTGCTGAAATGACATCTGCAGCATCACACGCTGCTGCTGCAGCCGCCACATCCAGTGCAGAGACACAGACACAGACAGGGCGGTTAGGTGGAAGGTATGGTTTTGTTGATGACAGAACAAGACAATCAACTCCCGAAGCAGCTCCCGATGGTGCAGTTGTTCTTGGAAATCCTGTTGCTCCACCAGCAAATGGAGACATGTATACAGATATCAGCACTGAAAATGCCATGCCCATGCTTCAAGCCTCGAGGTAAAAACTTAATTTTGATTCCACTTTTATCATCTATATATATATATATATATCTATATATATATATATATATAATATCGATGTGGTGTTTGCCCTAGAAGTGAAGTGAAGTGAAGTGAAGTAACTAAATGACCATTTTAACCTTACATTCCAAAAAACAGATTTCACAATTTTATTTTTAAACGTAAAGGTTTTGTTTCTTGATAAATTAAGCCAGGCCATGATCAAGTCATTGTGTTTGTCTAGATTAAGTCAAAATGAAACAACCAACCATGTACAGCTAGCTGTCGAGATTAAGTGGTTAGTACTACTGTTTATTGGGCAAAAACAACAATATGAAGGGCTTACACTTGAGCAATAAATAATAAATTAAAACATACATACTTAAAAGTTAGTGCAAAAGTAATTTGAATGTTAGTGAAGTGTAATTAAATATGAGAAGAAGATTCATGATATTGGCTTAATTAATAGGAGATTGAGCAAAGGAGTTGAATACTTGGTCGAGGCATCAGCAGCTGAAGCAGAGGCGATTACTGCAACTCTTGCTGCTGCTAAAGCACGTCAGTCCAACTCCAATGGAGAAGTTGATCTGCCAGATAGGGATCGTGGGGCAGAGGCTACCCCTAGTGGGAAACAAACCATAAAACCGGATCCGGATCCCAGTCCCACTGGAGTACGCTTGCATCACCGAGCTGTCAGTTTCTCAGTCAATATCTTCCTCTTCTTTTTTAATATGTTAAAGGTACAATTGTCATTTTGCAATGCAGGTGATTATAGCTGCCGAGACTGGTGGAGCCTTGGGTGGTATGGTCAGACAGCTTTCTATTGATCAGTTTGAAAATGAGGGAAGGAGGGTTAGCTATGGAACTCCTGAAAATGCAACTGCAGCAAGGAAACTTTTAGATCGACAGATGTCCATTAACAGTGTGCCCAAAAAGGTACATTACATTGCTCTTAATTATTCAAAATCACATCACACTGATGATATAATAGCATTTTCGACCTTTCCCTTCATTTAAGTGCTGTCACAATGACATAATAGGACGGGCGGGCTGGCTATAAGTTTGTAAGTTAGGACTTAATGGGAAAGCTGATTAAATCACTTTTTTTCTGCATTAAACACCCAGTCGGTTCTTGTTTTTCTTCTCTTCCCATTAAGTGCTGTATAGAATATAGATAGAATGGAAAAATGATGTTTGTCTAGAGGAATGTTAGAAGACGAAAAAAGACTTTTGAGTTTTTTTTTTTGTTTTAAACTAAAAGTGAAAATGACTTGTTAAAAAAGAATTGAAGTATTATTTCTTTGGGTTTCACTTTCAGGTGATAGGTCACCTATTGAAGCCTCGTGGTTGGAAGCCGCCTGTTCGTCGGCAATTTTTTCTGGATTGCAATGAGATAGCTGATCTTTGTGATTGTTCTGAAAGAATATTTTCAAGTGAACCGAGTGTTCTACAACTAAAAGCTCCTATAAAGATATTTGGTGACTTGCATGGCCAATTTGGAGACCTCATGCGCCTTTTTGATGAGTATGGATCCCCATCAACTGCTGGAGACATAGCGTAAGTAACTCTTAACCAACAAACATTCTTTCATTTATTTATAATCTTTCAAAGTCAAACAAAACAACAATGCTGCAAATGCCAAGAAATATAAGTATGAATCTATGTACCTACCTTCTCATGCTAATTTTATGCACCATCTATTTACCAGATATATCGATTATCTCTTCTTAGGAGATTATGTTGACCGAGGTCAACACAGCTTGGAAACTATTTGTCTCCTGTTAGCTTTAAAGGTACTACTACTCATTTCTGTTTGTATGGAACTAGGGCTAAAATTATTGGTTTGGTTTGGTTTTCTAAGAAGGTGTATTCATTCATTGTAGGTGGAGTATCCGCAAAATGTACATTTAATTCGAGGGAATCATGAAGCTGCTGATATAAATGCACTTTTTGGCTTTCGAATTGAGTGCATCGAGCGCATGGTAACCCTAATGGCCTTATGCTCTTTTTCATTTTAATTGTTTTGTTAGTAATTTCATTTTTATTTTGTAAATAATAAATAGGGTGAAAGAGACGGGATTTGGGTATGGCACAGGATAAATAGATTATTCAACTGGTTGCCACTTGCAGCTCTGATAGAGAAAAAGATCATTTGTATGCATGGTGGTATTGGAAGGTCCATTAACCATGTTGAGCAGATTGAAAATCTTCAAAGACCCATCACAATGGAAGCTGGTTCAATAGTTCTTATGGATTTGCTATGGTGGGGGTGCTTTACTGTTTTTTTTTTTTTTTTAATCGAATTAAAAAAAAAAAAAAAAAATCATCAACTGCGTAACCTATAATAAATTTTTTGAATAGGTCCGACCCAACAGAGAATGATAGTGTGGAAGGACTACGACCAAATGCCAGAGGTCCTGGATTGGTTACTTTTGGGGTGAGTTTTAGACTTTTAGGTAGTGTGAAAACAGTGCTACAACAACATGAACAACTTGTTGGTTGCCAATAAGAGCAATTTTTTTTTTTAATATCTTTGAAATTATGTTAATGAATTATTTAAGCAGAAAAGATATTGACAAGGACACTAAGCAGGCAAAAAAGGAGTAAAAATGGGTCTTTATAAAGTGGAATGGTGCATTTATGTAATGAATGTTAATGTTAAAGTAGAAAGAAGTGAAAATACATAGACATACTAGTAGTAGTAATAAAGAAATGAAAGGAGGATGAGGTATTTCATGTGTTTAGAGTTTTTGCAATTGCAGCCTGATCGTGTGATGGAGTTCTGCAACAACAATGATCTGCAACTAATTGTACGTGCACACGAATGTGTAATGGATGGATTTGAGCGTTTTGCACAGGGACATTTGATTACCCTTTTCTCGGCCACCAATTATTGTGGTACAAAGTTGATGTATGATTCTCATTCTCGATGCGAATGAGTTTTTATTTTGATTTTGATTATGTTTTTTTTGGTGTAGGGACTGCAAACAACGCTGGTGCAATATTAGTGTTAGGGAGAGATCTGGTAGTTGTTCCAAAACTGATTCATCCACTTCCACCTGCGCTTTCATCACCCGAAACTTCCCCTGAATGGCATATAGAAGATACATGGATGCAGGTTGCCATCCGCCATCCATCATTATGTTACTTTGTTTATCACTGATATCAACTACTTTGAAAAATCTATCCAGTTATACCAAAATATGATATGATTTTCACATCACATCATATACAAAATAATTTTCTCATACAATGCAATAACTACTGGACTGAAGAAAAAAAATGGGAAGTAGAATCAGAAATAAACCAAAGTACGTTGGTAATTTTTGCATTTAAAAAATTGTTGGCTGTTGTACTTGTAGGAGCTTAATGCCAACCGACCACCAACACCAACAAGGGGTCGCCCACAAGTTACCAACGATCGAGGCTCTCTTGCATGGATGTAGTTGACAGTTGTAGTTTTTCTCCAACATCATACATACTGCCTACACTTTTCTTTGAGGAGTTCCCGCCCACCACCACATCCACATGGAAGGCCTTGTACATTGTGATTCAGAGAGGAGATTTATGGTGCTGCTGGTGGTTTACATGATTTTTGATGATGGGAATGGGATACACGTCATATCTAATAATGCTTTTGTTATTCATGTAATTTGAAAATTAAAACGAGCCGACTCATATACTGAAAAAAAAAAGTGATGGTTGGTTGTATCATAGAAAGGACATGAATGAGGTTTGTGTTTTGGGGGTTTGGTTGGAAAATGTAACATTTGTGTGAAAGATAGATAAGATAACAACCTTTCTTCCTTTCATCCATACCTCCCATTCATTTAATCACATTTGTAACTTGGATTTATTTATCTGTCACATTGTAGCTTTATGGATATGATGTTAACAAGAAAAACTTTATTTTTCCTTACTTTCTTTGATTTTTGGTTTCGGTTAAATAAGAAACGTCAATGTGTAACTTTATAGGTCAAAATATATTCTGTTAAAATAAGAATACAACATGCCCAAAAACTCACTATTATTGTTTTCATTTTAAAGTAGATTTTATGTATTAAAGCAATTTTATGTAAGATATGTTTACCAAATTTATAAGATAAGAACATGGTGATATTCTTGATTTTTTGAAACACTATACAGCATTTATGCAATTTGCAACACCACAAAAGCAAGCAGAATGTTGGTGATTTTAGTGTTATTTGGTCATTTTAGTGTAATAAAATTTACAAATTATCAATGGAGTTCAAGCCTTGATTTTAGACAATCTAGTGGGTATGAAGTGCACGCTTGTATAAAACGAGATTGAACTCGTTTCAACCAAATGGTGGGGGTCAAGGGGTGGCGCCCCTTGCGGGGGGTCCTAAGGTCAACGACCCTAGCGGGGGGTTCAAGGGGAATGAAATGTGTGGATTTTAGACAAGCTAGGAGTAGTCTTGATTACACTTGGTCATTCTAGTGTAAATTCCATTATAAATTACCAATAGAGTTCATGTCTTAATTTTAGAAAAGTTAGGAGGTGCAGAGTACATGCCTTTATAAAAAGAGATTGGTCTCTGTTCGACCAAATGGCAGGGTCAAGGGGGATGTGCCTCCTGGTGGGGTCCTAGGAGCAACATCCCAGTGGGGTAAAGGGGGCCGCCTTCGTAGGGTGCGGAACAACGCCCCGTCCAAAATTTGATTTTACTAAGGAAAATATTATGAAAAATATTTCCTAATAATTACCTTGAAACACCATCCCTTATTTATGGGATAAAATCAACATTTAGCGCTGATTGATCTGATATTTAATAATTGTTTTGGTCAAAAATGAATTAAGGTGTATCGACTATCCATTTAAGGGGCGTGATGTAACATCCCAAAAATCATAGGTAAAAATTTCATTTTTAATTCAACCCAAACCATCAAATATTCATATCAAACCATCCAAAAGTATGCCATAGTAAAATAGTCATCAGAGCACAATTCCCAAAATCATAAAAGTGCGGAAAACATGGGTGGATGTGGTGCGATCACGTCGGGCCCTTCCCTTTCGAACTGAAAGTACCTGTTGTATTCTCAGGGACTCGGGCCATTGTTTACATCAAGTATAATTTTTTAAATAACATGACCAAAACATTCAATGTATGATGTTTGACAGTACACAAAACATAATCCCCTATTCTTGTTGATTCTTCTGCTTAACGAGTCACTGAGAATACAAGTTATTTTGAAAACGTCAACATATGTAATGTTGGTGAGTTCATAAGTATATTTGAGAAAATGATTTGTATAACTTTGTAATCACAAGAAAATCATGTATTTTCTTAAAATAGTTTGGTATGTTTATGTCTGATCTTGTATTAATGCATGTGTGTTATTGTTTAATAGAATGTCAAAAGTGAATGAAGAGAATGTATATAGAATGTCCACGGACAACCCGATGTTGCCCGTAAAAGAAGAATAGTTAATGCTGCCGTACCAACACCGAGGTGGGGTACCAGTGTGAGTAAGTTACCGAGTGATCCAATCATAACAGAAAATAGATAATGCTGTCGTACCAACACCGAGGTGGGGTACCAGTGTGAGTAAGTTTCCTAGTAATCTAACATAAAAGAAAATAGTCTTCCGCAAACTTCATAACGTTAATTCCTCTAAGTGAGCCGTCACAACCATACTAAATAATGACAATTTCACCTGTCTTGGCGTTTGTGAACGCCGACTGAAAAATAGAATAAGGTTATAGTCACCCTAGACCGATGTAGTCTAACTGTAACGAACAACTCAGTGTGTGGGGTGTCATCCCCGTATAGATCTATACACAAAACCCCGCTCTCCCTCCAAGAGACTCTGATTATAACTACAGGCTACGATCGAACACTTAATAGGTGTCAACCGATAAAACTTACTAGATCCTTAATTGAATTTACGCGAAGATAAACGTATAAAACTCATTTCAGGCCCAACGAACCATGTAAGTGAGCCACTAGGGCATTGCTAAACATGCGAGTCATTTCAAAACCTAATATGAATGAGATTATATAACATAGGCCCAATATATGTAAAAGAACAACTAGGGCCCATTTCACATGTAAGGTATTTATAGGCCCAAATAGCACGCAAATAGTATACAAAACCTATCAAACGTATAAATGGGCCACTAAGGCCCAATAACCTAGAAATGATCAAAATTAATCCGTTTGTTAGTTTATTGTTGGTTTTGGTTCAAGTATTCACTAAAATAGCATAAAAGGCCCACTTTTTGTAAAAATGACGTTCTTGGCCCAATAAGCCAAAAATTTACAATTAAGGCCCAATTTTTGTAAAAATAACACCTTAGTCCCCATTTTGTTCAAAACTTGTGTTTATGACTAGTTTGTGGTAAAAATAACATTTTAAACCCATTTTTGTCAAAAATATCATTTTTGGCTTGATTTTTGTGAAAACACACATTTTTCTGGTTTTGGGCTTTTCTGACCTAGTTGTTGGAAAATTTGTAGAAAAATCATCGTAAGTCGAAATTTGGATCCGTAAATTCTGGAAGTTTGTAAATTTTGTCTACTTTGTTCACAATTTTTCTCATAATTTTTAATGGCTTCTAACAAGTGTGAAATTGCTCACCTTCACAGGCTGGTCCGAAATTATTTCAAATCTGATAGGCAGTTTTGTAAAATTCGCCAAAAATTGTAGAAAAATCGTATGAAAATGTGAGAGTAGTCATTTTAAAGGTATAAACCTGATCCTTTTGCATGTAAAACAGTTTTGAAAAATATTATCATTTAGGTGGTCAAAACAGTTCGATATTGGACCAAAACTCTTCTGTCAAGGGCTGAATTTTGAGTTTAGTTTATAGATCTTTGAACACAACACTCATTTTTGCTATTTTAAGTGTATAAATCCCAGATCTACTAGTTTACATGTATTATATGTGATAACACATACTTTTCTCAAGGTTTTCATGTAGATCCAAGTGATAAACTTAATATTCTTGAACATATTTTTAGATTTATGAAGTAAATAGCACATAATCAACAAATAAGTCATGAAAAACACACATATTCATGCATATACACATAGATCTACATAAAGCAACTTGTATTCTCCCCCAAAACCAAGTAAAAATCGAACATAGGGGGTATGAACTCACTTTTGTTTTGATGTTTCGGTTTTGAAGAAGAGATGAAGAGATTTTTGGTCCTAGCAACACCTTGAAGTAGTTTTCGAGCTTATGAAGTTTCTAAGGTGTTAGATCACGAAATGGAGCTTCATAAGAGAGTGTTCTTAGTTTTAAGGATGAAAATAAAGGACTTAAGTATGATAACAACTTACCAAAGAGTGATGATCTAGATGAGAACCTCTTGAAGACACACACCAAATCTCGAAATTTTTGTGGAAGAAGTGGGATATTCTTGAGAGTGTTAGAGAGAAATTTTGCAAGTGAAGTGTGTATGTGTGTGTGCTATTCTCGGACGAGAGATAAAGAGAGCGAGAGAGAGAGAGAGAGAGAGAGAGGAGAAGAGTCTTGAGGTGATGGTTGCATAGAGATATGAGAAGTTTATGGATATATGTTATGTATAATCCATTGTTATCCTATATATAAAAATGAGGTGGCATGGTTTAAGTTAATTATCCATTTTTTTAAATTTTTACACACATGGGCCGAAAATGGGCCAAATGAAGTGAAAGAAAATAGCATTGGGCTCAATCTCTTGGCTTGTTCGAAATCATGAGGCCCATAGAGACAATTTTCGGCCCATTGGGCCTTTAGGGTATCTCTCGGCCCAATAGTATAAAACAAGGGGTTCTAAGGCCTATTAAGGTTAATTGGAGTTCTTATGGCCCAAAAAGGCCCATTAGGGTTAGAATGAATCATTCTAGGCCCAAATGGTCCAAAATGTTATAGAATTGATGATTTATTGGTCCCTTAGGCCCAATAAGAGAATCCTAGTCCATAATGAACTTGAGCCGGGATTTCTAGGGTTTCCAACCCTTACTTGCCCATATGAGATGTATTTGAACGAGCATAGAGTGTAGTATTCACTTAGAGTACAAGCCTTACAACAGATGATGGTTTCATGAGAATAGAATTCCCTAGCAAAAATGCCAGTTGTGACATCATCCCCCCGTTAGAGGGAATTTCGTCCCGAAATTCTTTCAAAAGGTAGGATCATGAACGATGGAATAGGTGAGGGTACTTCTGCTTCATCTGGTCTTCGCATTCCCATGTGAATTCCGGTCCACGCTTTGCGTTCCATCGAACCTTCACAATTGGTATACGACTTTGCTTCGTACGCTTCACTTCCATATCCATTATCTCGACTGGTTCTTCGATGAACAGGAGATTCTCGTTTATTTCGATCTCTTCTAAAGGAATGATAAGAGTTTTGCCCAATAGGCACTTTTTCAGATTCGAGACGCTGAACACAGGGTGTACGTTGCTGAGTTCGGCAGGTAGTTGTAGCCTATAAGCCATTGGACCAATCCGGGCAAGAATCTCGAACGGTCTAATGTATCGCGGGTTCAGTTTTCCGTTTCCTAAAGTGAATCATTCCTTTCTAGGGAAAGACTTTCGATAGTACCCGGCCTCCGACTTGGAATTCCAGAGGTTTTCGTTATTTATCAGCATAACTCTTCTGTCTATCTCATGATGCTTGAACTTGAGTTCTGATTTGGATTATCTTCTCTGTCGTTTCACAAATGGTTTTCTGGTCCCGTGAGAGTACTGACGAGTGATCTGCATTTATGACCATAAATAGTCTCGAAAGGGGC